CAATCTTCACTTCTTCCGGTAGCTCGCGCAGGTAGAGTTCTTCTTTTGTAGCTGTGCAGATGGCGATACATTCAGCTTCAGCAGATGAGAGCAATTATTTCTTGCTTTCCCGAGTGCCAAGAGATCGTGGCGATAGGTTCCAGGCGGTAGACGTAGCCGGTATGGGAGCGCATATTATCCTTGTCGCCAGCATGGTCGGTGTCGATGTATCCGATTAGTTTGGTCTTGGTAGTGGCATACTTGTGATAGGTGAGGCCGATAGTTGGGGTAGAAATGAAATAGAGGAGCGTGTGGTTAAGTTCCTACATATTTCCCCCTTCAGGTTGCTTCAGGTACGCAATGAGCTGACTGGCAGAGTAGGACAGGATTGGCTGGCAGGTTACGGCAGCGAACAGCATGCAGCCAAGCTTCTGCTAGTACTCTTGAATGCCAGCGGGCGCAAGGAGATTAAATTCCACGACGTACGTGGGTGAAGCATAGAGATCAGGCGAAAAGGTAGGGGTTGGTGAGATGCTGAAGCGGACTGCGATGTTCTCAGCATATTTCGATGCTGAAAGATGGATTATGTCGGGGCCATCTGCAATGTTTAGGCTGAGGTACAATGTCACGGTCAGTGAGACGGTGAGCGTGAGATCAAGCTGCAGCTCTCGATCGAACCAGGCGAGATGGTGGTGGTTGACTCGATGTAAAGTAGATCGTCGATGTAGACGATCAGCATAACATAGTCGCCACTGCGGGTGAGTCTGTACATGCCTTGGTCGTGCAGCAGCTGGGTGAATCCCGTGCGAGTCAGGATGCCCCATAGATACTACTGCCATAGCCGCAAAGCTTGCTTAATCACGTACAAGGTTTTGACGTGCTGGCAGACGAGGATGGGGTCGTCGACGTACGCATGCGGCTGCTCAATGAAAATTGTAGGCATCAACTGGTCCATAGAGGAAGGATGTCGTGACGTCCATATGTCACAGCCGGAGCTTGCGGGCGGCGGTGACGACGAGCAGGATTAGCAGAGACGTGTGGCGGTTGAGTGGGGCAAATGTTTCGGTGTATTCGCGGCCATGCTATTGTTCAAAACCCCTCACCACCCAGCAAGGTTTGAAGCGGTCGATAGTCCCAACGGCATTCGTCTTTACACGGAAGTCCCATTTCCCCGAAAGATGAGAATCAGCTTCTAGGTGTTGCGCTCGTGTAGTGCATTTAACTCCATGACCATTGCCTCCCTCCAATTCTCCATGTGTGGTCCCTCCAGCGCCTTCTTGACTGTAGCCGACTCCTCAATTTGCGGTGGTTGGGGCGTCGGGTGTACGGCTGCGACGAGTACCAGTATCTGAATTCGAATTTCGATGTAGCAGGGGAGTTCTAGGCACTCGAGATCGTTTGCTTCTGGATCAGGTGTAACCGGGGCGGGTACGTTCGGGGTTGTCAGCACAATGGATGTACGCCTACGCGTTCTCACTTTCGCGAGGGTTATTGTCGTCCATCTGCATGTCGACTGAGCAGTATGGCAGAGGTCCAGCTGTCGCCGAGGCATCCAAAATATTCTGCTCGTCCAGGTCACCTTCTTCTGCTGACGAGGGGAACGCGCATGCACCAGCGAAGCCACCAGTGGGGTCAGTGTTGTTGGCGATTTTGTCGAGGTAACGATTGATGGTGAGGTTTTCGTAGAAGATCACGTCATGTGCTGCCACCTTTTCTTTGTCTTCCATGTCAAAAAATTTACAGGCGTGGTGAAAATGTTTCTCAATGTTGAGGTGTAGACCCCACCGTGTTCGCAGTGAAAATCTTCCAACCCGTGCTGTGTGCGGTCGATACTGTACCATGCAGCCAAAAAGTCGTAAAATTTTTGTGATGCCCTGCTTCCCTCTCCACAACAGGTGCGGTGATGCGTTGTTCGGCAAGGAGCTAGACGACAAAAGGTTGTGCAGCATCACGGAATGTTCCTTCGCCTCCGTCCACTGTGAGTCAGGAAGTCGCATGTCACGTAGGAGCTAGCGCATGATGTTCTACAACATCTGGTTGATCTTTTCTGCTACGCCAATCTGTCGATGAGCGTGGGGGGGGGCGATGAGTCTTTTGATCCTCCTTTTTGCCAAGTAGTCCTTGAATCATTGTGACAGGTAATGCATCGCTCCATCAGAATGGAAACTCTTCAGCTTGGCATCACTTTATCTCTCTGCCACGGCGAGCCACACGTCGAACTCTAGGAAGGCATTTTGCGGGACGGTATGTTGAGATGTCAAATGTAGCGAGTTGCAGCGTCGATGAAGGTGATAACGAAATTCAGGTCCAACCTGCCGACTTCGCGAGGAATATACAGAATGTCACTATATACTTTCTCGAGCGGAGCGTAGGTTGGTGCGTTGGGGTTGTGACGCGAGGGGAACGGTCGACGCGATAAAACAGCTTCTGGGCAAAGGAAGCAATTGCGTCGTGGCTTGCGTAGTTCCTTTCCGTCGAGAAGTAGTAGGGAATCCTTGTCCAGCACGCCCGCTCATATCATTTCAAATAATCTTGAATTGTCGCGGTGATCCAACCTTTGATGCTGTGCTTCTTCGTTTGCCTTGTGCCCGACAGACCTCTAATACAAATCGGAGTTGGCGTAAGAGACGGAGAACGTTGCTGCGGTCTGATGGAATTTGCGGGTGTGCGCCTTCAGCTGCTAAAATTCGGTCGGCGACGGTTCTTCTACTGGTGTTTCTTTGACCGGTGCTTCTTCGACTGGTGGCGCGGATGAAGTAACAGCGACGGGGAGTTGAAGTGTTTCTCGCGTCGGTTGCCTTGTTGTTGACGTTCCTCTTGTTGCTTATGCTTCTCTTGTCTCTTCGGCTTCTTGTATCACAGCTTATGCACGTGTGCTTTTTGCTTCGTAAATGGTTTTCGAGTACCAGAATCCATCTTTGTCGAAGCCTGGGTGGAGGTTGGGTGGGTGCGTCCACGTGGTGAATGAGATGACTGCGTCGCTGTTTGCAATGTCGCAGTCCGATGAAGTCCAAGACGAAGACGCCGGACTTTAAGATCGACTTTCCAATGTACAAGCCACCTTCTCTATGGTAAAGCCGTAAGTCGCGGTCGTCTCTGTCGCACTCCAGGTGAATGTATTTCGTCATTAGCTGGCTAACGCTTAGTAAGTTCTAACCAAGGTTGTCAACGACTAGTACGCGTGACATTTGCAGCACCACACTTGTTTCGAGTGACTGCAGTTGAACGACGCCTTGTCTCCTTGTGCGTTGGTTCTGGTTGTTGGAACCTGTGATCACCACCTCACAACTCAAGGTCTTCTCCTGCTGGACGAAGCACGATGAAGCCCACAGAAGCTGTCCAGGAACCAATTGTCTCTTCCGGATGCTTCTTCGCATGCGATGGCTGCATACGTCGGGTTTGGTTGAAGAGAGGCAAGGCTCGGTGATGGTGGCATGTCGTCGAGGTCGCGGTTGGGTGGAGAGTCGGGTATGGAGGAGTCCATTCGCGCCATGCAACTAACAATGAATCTTGATTCTTGTGCAGGTCGAGTCGGAGGTGCTGGGGGTCGTTGTTGGGTAGACGCAACATGGCTGCTCCACGGGTGAAATTGTTGAGGCTGATGTTGCTGCTGCTGTGGCTGCTGCTGATGCTCTGTTGCTATGTCGGTGATAGGTTTCAGAGGAGGATGGTGAATACCGTTAGCGACTGATACATATAAGTCTTCTTTTCCGCGAGAGCCCCGTTTGCAGGGGATGGCCAGGAGACAGTGAAGAGGCTGAGGATCTGCGCGCTGTCCATCAGCAGCTCGAACTCGAAGCTCTGTGTTTAAGAGTCCTTCCCATTAAAGGGAAAGGAAGTCTACAGCTTTAAGATGTTGGTGAACTGATGTTGCATGTTCAGAATCTCTGACCGCTTGTCGTTTGGTTATGATTCTGCCGCAGGTGCTCGAGTCCACAGGAAGCTAAACGAGTTGGTTTAGAACTGGTAAGTCAGGTGTTGTGAAGGTTGCTGGTTGGCTCGTCCGTACGATGAGCCATCAATACTCATGGGCGCCGGTGTTGACGCCACTGACGTTATTCTTGTGTGTTGATTGAGCAGGTGCTGAAGGTTGCTCATAGTGCAACATGAAGGAGAAGAACATCTCCACAAAGCCCGAGACAATGCCCGAAGGGGGAGCCGCCTGCTGTATGGGTATCCCCATAGTTACGCCTTGAGTTGCGCTTGCCTCTGTCTGTAGTTCAGAGGCTGGAGGTGCTGATGCTTCGAGGTCTAGAGATCCAGTAGAGGATCCTCTTTCCTTGGATGGTCCCATGCTTGTCTTGAGTGTCTGGATTATACGTTGGAATCACTGCGAGCGTTCTTTTCCATGTAAGAAACTCAATCGAAGGGCTTAGTCTCTACCCAAAACTCTAACCTACAAACTCTACCAAAGACTAGGGAACCTAGTCTCCGACTAGCTCTCACACCATATTGGGCTGAGAAAAGCCCTAGGATTTGGAAGAGACTAAGTCCTTGAGTAGATAGAGTACTTGATAGGACAACGGAAGTCTGAGTTGAACTCTTGTACCAGTATGTGGGAACAAGTGATTGATTTTAGCTAAGGGATACAAAATCTTATCTAGAATATGAAGGGTCTCACAAACTCTGCACTTCATAGGGGTGCATTCCCTATACGACTCGATAAGCACGACTCGGGTAACTGCCCGTACTGTAATACCGGGACAGTTACATGTGTCCTTGCTGTTGCGCTAACTTTGAGTCTTGTACTTCTGACTGCTTGCGAGGTCAACAGTCTACGACCTTTGCCCTTCACAACCTCCGTTGTGTGTCGTCAACCTGCATCAACCGTCAGAAGGTACTGTAGCAGGTTTGACTCGTCAGTCCTCGATGTTCCTGTACTCGCGTATTTGTATAACACGCAATACTCCTGAAATGCTGAAGTTTCTTCTTCCTCATTTCCAACATTGAGGACTTCGAGGTGCGAGGATAGGAATGTACTGAAGATTTGCTGAAAATAATTGATATTTACACTTAAATTGTGCTGTTTCCCGCACCGGTGATGAGGGACAAGGCGTTATGGAGAAGCTCTCGGTAGCATCAGGTTCTTAGTAGTTACATAAGGATATGTATGGCAATACCGATAGAAGACACGGCACTAGTTGTGCCGCACTACGACAAAGAGTGCAGTGCCTCCCCAATAACACTATCATTGCTGCGACTACGCGGAATAAGCCGGCCGGTACGCTTGTCAACGCGCCCAGCCTGCACTGCTCTTGATTTCGCATCGTATCTTTGACTCACAGCATGCCTGCCGCCTTCTCTTGGCGCATCTCCTGTCCCATACTTCCATTGCCCGTGTGCTGCATTCACCACCCTTCCATCATGATCCATACCTGCACCATGTGCCACTCTCCCACCACCACCACCCCTCGCCGCCACCCCTTGAGTCCCCACCATCCTCCCCCTCTCCCCTCCCCTGCTCCGAAACACAAGCCCCATATCGTCTTGCGACCACAATTTCCCACACGCCCCACCCTCACCACTCCCTCCACTCCCCACCTCCCAAGCACCCATTCCCCGCTCCTGCCCCCTCCTCTCCTCCACACCTCCTCCCCACACATTCCGGCCGGCGGGGGTAGAAGCAGGGAGGGCAGGGAGGAGGGCGGCAGGGAGGGACGCCTGCAGGTGGTGCCATGTGGAGAAGACCTGGTGGTGCGCGGTGGTGACGGCAGCAGAAAAGGGCTGCACGGCTGCTGCTAGTGGCTCCACAGCAGCCGAGATGGGCTGCATGCCGCGCTGCACTGCTGCCTGCATGTCCTGCAGGGCCTGGTGGGGACAAGCCAACCACACCACACACACACATACATGCATTCCGTTCACAGGAGGAGCGACGGAGGGAAAATGGGGGGAGCGAAGTTGCGTAGTGGGGATGGAGTGTGGGTGAGAAGGGATGGTGTGGGCAAAGGTCTCAGCTAACGTGTGCATGACGAGTGGAAATATTTTTTGAGGCGCCGCAAAAATAATGTGTGCATGATGGGTGGACGCAAGGAGGTGGTGCGAGCGAAGCAACACGGTTGAGGCAACGAGGGTGGTGGTGCATAACGAAATGCTAGAATCGAGTGAACGAGGGGAGTGCTTGGAAGAGAGCATGACAGATAAAGCTTTTGAGTCGGATCAAAAGCATAATCCGGTGAAGGAGGGGAATGCTTCAGAGAGCATGATAGAAACAAGAAACGGGTGAGCTCGGGCACAAAGGCTAGCGAGGAAGAAGAGTGAAGTTTCAAGAGCGAGATAGGACGAGGAACGAAGTCTCAGGGGCCAGAGAAGACAAAAAGTGAAGCTTCAGGGAGGAGACTCACATCCGTGCCACCGCCAACCAAAACATCATGAATCCTTTCAGAGATCTCCATGTTCCTCCTTCCCAGATAATCCGACGCGTACTCCCACGCGTCCTCTCTTCTGTCTCTTCGAAACGGCGCACCAACAATACGTGATGTGGCAGCCAGCGTGCCTCCAACTCCCCTCCCTCCTGCTCCCCTTTCCCCACCTCCTCCACTCGCTCCTCTCCCTTCAACATCCCCTCTCTCCCCCTTTCCTCCCTCTCTTCCAATCCTCCCTCTGTCAGCCAACCCCCCTCCTGCTGAGCTCCTTCCCCTCTCTCCCCCACCATAACCACCATCACCGCCACTGGGAGCATTACCAGCTGCACCAGCGGCATCAGCAGCATCAGAAGCAGCGCTCCCCTTCAGCAGGGTCCGGCCAATCACCTCGCTTGCAAGGATCTCTTCGGGGTCCAGCGGGGCGGTCGGGTCCGCCATGTCAGCGAGCACTGCCACGACACCAGCTGGCAGGCGCTGCATGCGCGCGGGCGCGAGGCGGGAGCGCGTGTAGGGCGACACGGGGAAGGTCCAGTGGTTGGCTATTGCTGCTGCTGCCATCTGCCGTGGGGAATGCGGCAGTGAGAGGGAGGGTGGATGGGGAGAAAAGGGGATTCGAAAGACTTCTCAAAGGAAAACTGCACTATACCCTCACGCCTTTCCCCTGACTCACCTCAACGCAGATCAGCCAATCCTGCACCACATCCTGCCATCCCAACCCATGCAGCAGCCCATTCTGAAGACATTTCCCAAACATAGTAAACTCAACCACCCTCCTCCGAACCCACGTCAACACAGATCAGCCAGTCCTGCAACGCATCCTGCCACCCAACCCAAGCAGCAGTTTGGTCTAGACAAATGTCAGATACAAGCGACAATCAGCCCTCAACTCCCCTCTGAGCCCACCTCAACGCAGACCAGCTAGTCCTGCACCGCATCCTGCCACTCCCAACCCATGCAGCGGCCCATTCTGAAGAAATTTCAGCCGCAGCTCCCGGTCGGACCGCACCTCAATGCAGATGAGCCAGTCTTGCACCGCGTCCTGACACTCCAGACCGTGCAGCAGTTTGTTCTAGACACAAATAAGCCCGTCTGAACCGCATTTCTCGTCTGAACGCACCTCAACGCAGATGAGCCAGTCCTGCACCGCATCCTGCCACTCCAGGCCATGCAGCGGGCGCGCACCCCCATTCGCCAGCCCAAAGAGCATGATAGCTGCAGCTATCACGACGGACTGCCAGTAGGTGACGAAGATGACGCCTTTGATCGCGAGGAACTTGCCGAGGGGGCGGATGTGCGCGAGATAGTGGCCTATGGCATGGTAGAAGACCACTATGCAGTACAGCGCGTACATCTGACTCAGGTTGATTAACACTGTCGCGTACGGGTAGCTGGATTGGGAGGGAGGAGGTGGGAGCAAGGACGGGGGAGGGGGGAGGAGATACCTGAGCCTGTCCAAGCCACAGCAACTCGCAGCCGCAAGCTACAAGCTACACTCGAGCACCATGCAGAGTGTGTGTGTAGCCCATAGTAAACGTATGCTCTTACAAGCTACGGCAGGGGTTCTTACAGTGAGTATGGGCTGAATTCCCCTTCCTTGTATAGTCCAAACGGGCCAAACACGACCTGGAGCAGGGCGCATGCTGGCTTTATCACCATCTGGCCTTGTCCCAGGGGAAGGGGTGAGCACAACACGAGGGAAAAGGCAAGACGAAATCTCGGTCGCTCCTTGTCCAAGTGGGAGACAGGTAAGGGACCCGAGTAAGTTTCGTGGTCGGCTCACGTGCCTCAAGGGGCTAGTAAGAGAATTATAGAATTCGTGAGGAAAGCGATGAAGCAGTGACTCAGCGACTAAGCAAAACAGCAAATCAGCGACTCAGCGACTCACATACAGCACTATGCCGAACTTGCACTCCTGGAACAGCTGCTGCCCGTGCACCCATTCCGGCAGCACCCACCGCAACGGCACCGGATGCACGTAAACTGCTGCTGATGACGCTGCCGCCGCCGCCGCTGCTGCTGCTGCTGCTGCTGCTGCTGCTGCTGCTGCTGCTGGTGATTGTGATGCTGCTGCAAATTCTGCTGCTGCTCCCCTTCGTCCGCCTCCTCCTCCTCTTCCTCCTCCTTCTGCCCCTTCACTCCCATCACCAGCAGCAGCGCCACCTGTCCAATCAAATCGAGACGATCCCAGCCCTGCATCCGACTCACCCACGATGCTCTCTGGCCGCACGGACTCCCAGCAGCCCCCACCCACGCCAACGCTCACACCCTCTCCCTCGCCTTCACCTCGCCCTGACTCAAGATCGGTATATGTGGAATAACCGCAATAAACCCCACCCTCCTGTGCGCATGGTTCGCCGTACACGCGGTGCGCTGGTTGCTGTTGCTGACTCGCTCCGCCTGCTAGCCTTCCCCCAGGCCAAGATACATAAGACGAGGAGTGAGAGCGTGGTGCACGGATGGGAGAGGGTGTATTCGGCCTGGGACTGACACTGCCACTGCATGCCTCCTGCCTGAGAAAGGGCTTCTCAAAAGGTGGTGAAGAGGGCATTCTGTATGGGGCTGTTGATGTTGCTGCTGCTGTCGACGATGCTGTTGACCCACTGGCACCAGGACGAGCCCAACCACCACCACTGACCCAGCCACCAGCGCCAGCACCAGCACCAGCGCCAGCACCCCCACCAGCACCACCACCGCTGCTGCCACCACTGCCACCACTGCTACCGCCACCACTACCACCCCCATGCTCAAGACCATGATCTCCTCCTCGTTCCGGCCCCCCTCCCCGCCGCTGCCCTCCAGCCCTTGGACTTTCCTCATCTCTCCGGACCCATCGGCCACTCCCCGCCATTCCCCTCAGAAACCTGCTCCATTTTCCATCGTCGTGGCCTTCCTCCTGGCTGTACACTCCCTTCACTTCAGCATCCCCCAACCAATTCTGCACAGCGCAGCTCTCCCCAGTGAGGCATTCTGGCTGACGGCTGGGAGGAGAGGATGGTGATGATGGCTCCTCGGCTTCAGTTTCTAGTAGTGGCTCTTCAAGAATACACTCTTGAAAAAAACGCCTTGGTCTCGCCTGGCGATTAAGAGAAGAACCAGCCGCCCTGGAGTGGTCAGACCAGGTGGTTTGACGCCAAGCTGAAAAGAGAGATGGAGTGAAAGTAGCCTGCGCGGTGCGGTCAGGTGCGGAAGGGTTTGCAGGGGATGCTGAAACTGCTGGATGGCTTGAGATGCGGGAAGAGCGCTGTGAGCGGCGACTGTGAGGGGGTTTTGCAGATCGGGGAAATGGCTGGTAGGTGCTCCTTGACAGCTTCCAGATTGTACGCTCTTGACCGCCTGGTGAGGGTGACAGACGAACGAGAGGTGAGGAGGTGGAAATGAGCTGCGAAAAGAGCTGTGATAGAAGTTAATTATTATGCACATCCCACAAACCAAAGAGAAACAAATTGCCGATATATGGGTGAACACCAACAGCTATGACAGTAACAACACTAGTAACATCAATCACCCTATGGAGGACAAGCGCAATAATTATAATGAAAACAAAGATAACAACAGAAAGAACAAGAACAAAATGATTGCGGTTGAAGAAAACTGTAACAATTGAAAGGAAAGAGCAAAACAACTGCCAACCAAAGCACTCACCCAGGCAAGAGATGAGGAACATAGCGAAGGAATAGATCGCAGCTGACTCATAGCACTCTCGGACCAGGAGTAAGAGCAAGCACCAGTGTGGTTCATGGAGGGAAACATACTGCACGCACAGAAATTTCACAGATATAAGCACATAACAGTGGTTCGGATTAACAGCAGCATGTAGATTATTCGTAAGTAATGGGGAATCCCAGAAGAGCCAGGTAAAAGCGGTATCTAATGGGAGTGTGCCGTGTGCACGTGGAATGCTGAGGGAGACGTACCGCAGTGAGAGAGTAGAGAGGAGGCATGAAGATGCACGCCACTATCCACTTCTGCTCCTGCAGTGCCGCAACAACCGAATCCAATCGCAGAACAAGTAAAGCAATTCAGTCAGTAGATCATTCGAAATCAAGCGTTTCATGCTTGAAACTTTGACTAAGATCCCCGGAAAGCCAAACTCTTCAGCCGTATAAAAGGCAAGCATATCGGTAAGCCGATCCGCTACATACATCTGGCTTTGTGTAAGAGCGAAGATGGTTCACTATCAAAGTTCCGGACGCTAAACAAGAAATCGCCGTCATAAGTCCAGCGACTTGAAGCAGGTCTCTAAAGCTCGGCATAGAAACCCCGACTCGTGGAAACGACACCAGGAAGGCCGCCATTCCTTTTGGCTGAATTGTAGAAGAATATCGTTAGAGTGACTCTAGAATTACTAGACGAGAGATGATCGCCGTGCAACAGTCAGTCTAGCAAAGACGCTGTCAATCGCAGCTTCGGATTCATGCTCTTGTGATCGCGCAAGCAGCAACTACGAGAAACTAGGACCGTAACTATTCCGAAGGATGGTATAGTCCCGCCGCTGTCAATTTCGGAAACCCCTTGAACGCAGAAGCACTTATCCGAAACTTACTTATCGAGGGAATTCGAGGAACAGCGGTGTGTGCAAAATCCAGCAACTTTTTGAAGGATGCAGAATTCAAGGTGACGCTTGGCATGCATTGCAGCGGTGCTTGCTGAACTCGCAGGCAGGGGACGAGGTCATCAGGGAATGCCCTATCACTCACAGCCGTCGTCACCGTACCATAAACGAATTACGCGGCGCTCATGGCATGGGCCTATGAAGCCTTGGGAACTGCGACGCCGTACCGAAGTCTAGGTCCGGCAACGGAGCTATGGCACCGCGGCTGAACCAGGGCAGCCAAGCAACGCCCTTCATCATCTGGTTTGGAGCTGCCTTGGAACTACGAAAGCCCTACGATTGGTTCTGTGTGCTTCGGGTCAAAGCGCAACCGCTTTGGGTGCGCCATGCTCATGGTGGTGTCATCACCTCGGGTCCTGCAGACATTACTTGAATAACACGAGATCCATTTTCAATAATGTTCTATGAATAAATTACATTACTTTCCCCCATGATATGTTATGTTGCAATTCGAGACTAGGACAAACACAATGGACTATTAACAAATGAACATCAACCCCAAACAGCCGCCACCACACCACAGCATCCACTAAGAGTTTATGCATCCTCTGAAGGCGAGCCAGGAGCACAAACCAATTCTACTGCACGAAAACCCCAAGGTTTGTAGTATTCAGCAGCCTGAGAATCAGCCACCACGAGCGCATGGACAGCTCACCTATCCAGCCATAACCAAAGGCACCACCCTCGAGTTCTGGTCATGCAGCACGTGAATCAAGATGGGGTGATGATCAGTCAGAAGCGATCTATCTTGTCGGCCTTGATGACTGGGCTGGCCTTGGCAATGGCCTCACGACCAGCAGCCTTGTAGTCAAAGGAGCAATCATGCTTGTCTGAGTAGCGGTGAAGAGAACAAAACAAACCTTCACAGCGACACTTGAAACCTGTCAACCCAACTCGGCGTTTGCAAACATGGCAGCGGTTAGCAGGTGGATGCGATTCTGGCGGAGCAGCCGCTACAGCTGAGGAGGCAGCACACGCTGAAGAAGCAGCAGCTGAGGATGCAGTTGCGTTGTCCACAGCAGTGGCGCCGGCTGAAACCCCGGGCCCCGGACCCGCGGCCACCGCAGATGAGCCTGCCTCCATAGGCTCTGGAAAAGAGGGAGCAGAAACTCTCTCAGCGCATGGAGCTGCAGAGAAAAAGGTTCTCACTAATCAGGAAAAAAAAAACATTCACAGCGCAAAGCACACACGCGTTAACGACCCCAAAACGCTGGAAAGTAGAATTCTGAAACGCCGCATTCCAACAATCGTCAAATCTGATCGACTAAAACTATACGACATGGAAAGGCGTTAAGAGGAACCCGTGTAACCAAGGCATACCTGCAGGCTTTGTGGAACCGCTAGACGGTGCTGATAAGGCTGAAGAGGCTGCTTCGGCTTGCGAAGACTTCAAAACATGATCCCGATAACACTTGGAGCACATGTTAAGGGTCGTGGGACTGCCGAAAAATCCACAATTGTTGATGCAAAGGATGCTACGCTCTTGTTGATGGCAACCAGCCGAGCCCTTCTCTTCTCGCGCCATAGCCACGATCGAAAGGTAAACTATTAAACGTCTTAAAACTCCAAAACCGAACAAAACACCCCCGTGTTGTCGCTCGCTCGAGACCCAGTCGGAGCGGAAATCAACAACTAAACGGGAGCCTACCCAGCAAAAAGTAAGACCTAAAAAATGCAGCTCTTCACTTGTCAGACACAGCAGTAGTGCAAACGCAGCAGCCTATTAGGACAGCAGCAGTGACCAAATACCAAACCCTCGCATGCTTGGTTGTTCGTTTGGTTGCTCGCTACCTATCCGTGTCACCCTCTGGTTCGGGCCTCTTGCTAAGCCCCAGGGTATTCCGGAAGGGGACGGAATCGCCTCAATTACCCGTTAACAGACGGAATCCCCCCCTAAAAACCCGTTAGCGAAAGGAATCGGCTGCTACAAATTCGGCTAGCAAGGAAGGCGGCACCCGGGGGGGGGGGGGTAGGGGGCGGGGCTGCAGTGAAGGGGATCGCTCCGCCCTACAGATTGCCCTACTACAAGTATAGCCCGTACGGATTCAAGAAAAAGTTACTCGTTAGGCTAAGTAATCGCGCTGAATTGTTCCCGTAAGTTGGTCGGATTCGGAAAAATATCGCACCGTAAAAAACGGAATCACGGAAACGTTACTCTTAATTTCCCGACATTAAGGGTTCTTACCCTGTTAGCGAGAGGCTTGCTCTGGTTGTTCGCGGGCCACGCAAACCTCGATCACTTGTGACCCTCTAAAAGTGCCACGGTACTAGGATGTTGAAGAGAATGGAGAGAACGCACCCCAAGGAATATGCTTCATGTTTTGAAAGGTAACACTTAGAAAAGATTGTGACAAATCATAGAAAACGTTCCGTACTTTACTTGAAGCGATTCAATATAGTTTGTAGGATCTTCAGGATTGAACTCCAGTAGTGCGCTTTACGGAAGCGATTGATTGGTCGAGGAACCCTGTAAGAGTGAATGTAACATAACAATGTTGATTATAGCAAATAGATACAGTGTTCAATTAGTGATACAAGAGAATGCGAAGGGTCTAGCTAGCTAAGATGCACTTAACAAAGGTGCATTGTCAGAAACTCAGCCACTAACCACTGAGTTTTAAGGGCTTGTTAATAGCGGGTAAGTGCGCCCATAGCCCCCCCAGGCTCTGCACCAGGGTCTCATATATCATACGAAATCGGTCTGATGGTCTGAAAATCAGACCTGTTTTTTCTCTTTCATCTGATTTTTTTACGGGCTAAATTAATTCGTCTGATCGTCCAGATAAGCCATAAGATTTCGTCTGAAAGTACAGACTAGGTGTAGAATTTCGTCTGAGAATTCAGATAGCGCGGATTTTTTCGTCTGATACATTCCTCCTTTCCCCAACGCCCCTTCCCCAAACCCCCCCCCCCCGACTCCCGTCCCCCACAACCAAGAGTTTTTCCGGCTAAGTCCTCCAGACCAGACATATTCCTCCACATACCCCTCACATTCCCTGAAACCAGAGACATGCCTCTTCACACCACGCACAACCCCTAAAATTCAGCTAAGACCTGTCAGAAACCCAGTCACTAACCACTGGGTTAAAAGGGCTTATTGAATAGCGGGTAAGTGCGCCCATAGCCCCCCAGGCTCTGCACCTGTGGCCCTTCCCCGAGGATCTCAAGGGCAACCCCAGCGGGTCACTCAACACCCCCCCCCCCGCTGGGATAGGTGGAAGACACGAGCGCCTCTGCAGCGCTGGCACTGGGAGTTGAACCCAAGACCTTTGGCTCTGATGTACCATGTCAGAAACCCAGTCACTAACCACTGGGTTAAAAGGGCTTATTGAATAGCGGGTAAGTGCGCCCATAGCCCCCCAGGCTCTGCACCTGTGGCCCTTCCCCGAGGATCTCAAGGGCAACCCCAGCGGGTCACTCAACAAGACCCCTATTGCGAGATACATTTTGCCACACACCCCTCACGCCATGTTTTTCCGATGAAGTCCCTCACAGCTAGACCATGAAATTTTGGCTAAAGACCCTCCCACCCCATCCCCCCCCCCCCCTCCCGTATACCTGCGATGGCGGTGCGTAAAGTGAGGGTTGCTTGCTTGTGCGTGACACGTCACGTTACGTGCGAGCCCCTGGAACTGTAGGCAGATACAGTACGCAGGCCCTGGTCAATCTCCCAAGGCTCGCGCTAAAATTTCTATGCAAAACGGTTCAATGCGGTTCCGTGTGGTCTGATTCGGGGTCGTGACTGTCAAGGTTCAGGCCCTGTTTTCAAACTTCTCAGGCGCGCCTTTTTGAGACAGGCGCGCATCCGTACAGTACGATTTTTACCTGAGCAGATTCGAAGCAGCTGAGAATAGTGATACTGAAACAATTTATGCTTGACAAGGAACCTTCGAACGTGCTCGTAGGCGGGTCCAAGTCTGGGAAGAAGAAGTTCGGAGGAACAGGCTCTCCGCAGGAAATAAGGAAACAGAAAAATTGAAGTCTAAATTGCAAGTGGCGAAGTTTCTTGCGGCAATTTTTTCGTCTGAATGTTCAGACTCACGGGAAAAATTCGTCTGAAATCTCAGACTCCTTGAAAATGTTCGTCTGATGGTCAGATGAAACTTTGGAAACCCGTCTGATTTTCAGACAGCCCTAAATCCTAGTTGAAACCTTGCTCTGCACCTGTGGCCCTTCCCCGAGGATCTTCTCAAGGGTAACCCCAGCGGGTCTCTCGACACCCCCCCTCGCTAGGATAGGCGGAGGACACGAGCGCCTCTGCAGCGCTAGCACTGGGAATTGAACCCGAGTTACCAACGCTCTGATACCATGTCAGAAACTCAGCCACTAACCACTGAGTTAAAATGGCTTGTTAATAGCGGGTAAGTGCGCTCATAGCCCCCCCAGGCTCTGCACCTGTGGCCCTTCCTTGAGGATCTTCTCAAGGGTAACCCCAGCGGGTCTCTCGACATGCATTCCCTTTGAGGTTCCAGATCCGACTTGAGTAACCGTACATACACGACTCGGGTAACTGCCTGCGCTGTATTACAAGGTTAGTTATGTGCCCTTGCTGTCGTGACGAACCCTTGGACTTCAGCCGGTTTGACTGTCGGTCAACGACCGTTGCACTTTGTACGTTATGTTATAGGCTTGGACTCGACAAGGTTTACGGCTCGAGGGTCACTTTCAGGAATGTAACAAATTCCTTATCGTAACACTCCCCTTCATTACTGAAGGTACTCGAGCTTGGCGCGCTTGGAGATTTCACATAGCTCGGGGCAGTGCAGGTACTGTTGATATGGCAGCTTTTTGGTGAGGAGGTCAGCTGCCATATCACCAGTGGGACAGTATGTCAGGTCGACTTTTCCTTAGTCGATTTCGTCCTTGATGAAGAAGTATCGTAGGGCGATGTCCTTTGCGCGATTGACGAAGCCGGGCTTGTTGGCGATCTTGTTTGCACTCCAGGCCCCCAAAAGTCAGGAAAATTTTCCCGATTCATGAAAAAAACAGGGAGTTTCTCGGTAGTAACCTTGATTGTGCAGGATTTTTTTTAGTGACATGCCCTGATTTTTCAAGCCTTTTTAAGTATAACTCTGATTCCTCAGCAAGGATTCTTAGCGAACCCTGAATTTCTTAACATTGTAGCGGGTCCTAGTCCTTACCGAAAGTGTGTTTTAGGGGGCAGTCAATATTTTCGAGTTTCAGCCCCCGCCTTGGGCTGTGTGAGGGCGTTGATTGGCCCTTGGTAAAAAAATCTCCACGCGCTGTATGTTGGGGTGGAGGTTGTATGAGGGAGGTGATTGGCGCTAGGCCAAATCTGGGGCTCGATGTGTGCTTTTGAGAGCTGTGTGAGGGCAATCGCTGGCCCTTGACCAAATTTGCTCAATCTGTGACTGCCTCCCTTGGGGCTCTGTGAGGAAGAGATTCCCTCTGCCCCTGCAATCTCTTTTGCATCCTCCTCTGCCCGCCCCTCTCCTTCCCCCCCCACCGAAAATGTCGACTCCTGCCCATCCCCAAATTTTGTCCCGCACGCGCAAACTCGCTACGAATTCCCCCACTCCCAAAAAACAAGACTTGAATCTACATCATTCGTAAACTATTACCATCCATAGAAACTTGTTTCAGAGATATCATGAATTTGTTTTGAGGTAATTCTGATGGCTCATGATTTTTTTTTTAGGGGATCATGAAAAATTAGACTCTAATACAGAGAGAATCCAGATGGATCTGGATGCCTCAAAACCAATCTAGGGCCCTGTTGCACTCTGATTGTCGCAGTGTAACTTGAAGGTTGGCGAAGTGCTGAGTTTTGCCTCCTACGACAATTCTTGAAGGTAGAGTCCTTCGCAAACGGCGGAGGTTGCTGCGATGTACGCTGCTTCAGCTGAGGAAAAGGCAATCAGCTCCTATTTCTGTGAGCTCTTGGCAATGGGTTTAGTAGGCTCCAGTCGGAAGAGAAATCCTGTGCGAGAGCGGCAGTTAGCGGGATCTGCGGCGTGGTCTGCGTTGACGTAGCCAGTGAGTTGGAATGTGGGTGTGGTGATGGTGGAGTAGGTAAGGCCGATGTGGGGAGTCGAAATGAAACAGATGACAGCTCGTTGTAGATGCATGAGGTTCTCCCCATCATGTCAGTTGCTGCTGGTAGAGTTGGTGAGCGGCAGGAGTGAGTGTATTGGTGTCGGGCTTGTAGTCGGCAGTGGGAGTGCGGTAGGGTGTGGAGAGCGGCGTCGTCATTAGATTAAATTTCTTCGCGAGAGTCTCGGTGTCATTGGATCGAAAATGGTCGAGAGAAAATTGCACTATCGATCGATACAATGTGCTTTTATGCTTCCATGGTACATCACGTAACCAGGTTTATCCTATCCAAAGGGAATAGACCCTTCTAGAAATTGAATTACCCTGCGTATAGCCACGCGAGGCTATTGGCAAGATTACGCTAGATATAGCGCGCCAGTACATCCCGAGCCTGGTCAGTGATATGATTAAAATAATAGGATAAACCAAAGGATTATGGAAAATGAGGAATAGGGAACCAAATGAGATGAGATAAAGTCCAAATGAATTAGGAGAAAAAAGGGAATGAGATAGAGAAGACCTACATAAATTAGAAAGAAGTGTAACGGGGTCGTACTCTCACACTTCCCCCCCTCAAAGTTGGGCGGTAGATGTAACACCCTGCTTGACAAGGTAGTCGCGAAGTGGACGACGAGCGTTACCCACACCAGAT